TGAGCATCCTTCCCCTCTCTCTGAGCTGAGGTTTGCCTGCCAGCCCCTGCCTCTGGGGCAGCCTGCCCTTCCTCCCGCCCCAGCCAGTTAACCCTGGAAAGTCCCCGGTCCTGGGACCTGGTGCACTGAGCCCTCTTGTGGCCTTTTTGCCCACAGCGATGGCAAGTTAGGCTTTGGGCTGTCTCTGTCCAGGCCCTGGCTGGTTCTCTGGGGCACAGACGACCTGTTCCTTGGTCTCGCCCCGTAGTTGACTCCCTCCGTCGCTCAGCCGAGATCCGGTCTCTGCGCGGTTCCCTTTCTCTCCGGGACTCCCGTTCACCCCCGGACCGGCTCTCCGTGAACTCATCCGCCAGCCTCCCGGCCTCCTGGGGGTTCTCTGGTCTCCGGTCCTTGAGCCACAGCCTCAGTTTGGGTGGGCACGCTTCATAGAACTGCTCCATCAGGACCAGCTTGAGCAGCTCCTCTGCGGTCTGGGCTCCAACTCCAGACACCCACTTGCGGCCCGGGACTCCCGTTCACCCCCGGACCGGCTCTCCGTGAACTCATCCGCCAGCCTCCCGGCCTCCTGGGGGTTCTCTGGTCTCCGGTCCTTGAGCCACAGCCTCAGTTTGGGTGGGCACGCTTCATAGAACTGCTCCATCAGGACCAGCTTGAGCAGCTCCTCTGCGGTCTGGGCTCCAACTCCAGACACCCACTTGCGGCAGTATTGTGACAGGTGGGAGGCCAGATCCACATAGGTCTCCCGTGGCCCTTTCTGTACCCCCCGGAACCTCTTCCTGTACATCTCGGGGGTCAGCCCGAACTTGTGCAGCAGGGCCTCCTTGACTCGGTTGTAATCCCTTGGCTGTAGGTCCTCCAGCTGACTGAGCACTCCGGCCGCCTCCTGGTTCAATGCAGGGATGAGCTCCTGCAGCCAGTCACCTGGGGGGACCCGTTGCAGTCCACAGGCCCTCTCAAAGGAGCTGAGGAACCCGTCTATGTCGCCCACGTCCTTCAATTGGGCCACCACGAGCCTCTCCAAGCGTCTGGCAGTCCCGGGACCCTGGCCCCCATCCTCACTTGGCGCAGCTGGTGCCCGCCGGGTCTCCGCTTTGCCATGGCCAGCTCATGCTGTCGCTGCCTCTCTCGATCTTGGCGGTCCCTTTCTCGCTCTGTAGTGCCAGATTTGAAGTTTGAAATGTTTGAGTTTTAATTAGTAACTTTAAGGTTTGGGGGGAGAGTTTTATGGACAGAAACAAATGAAAGAGAATTTTTGCTGCTTAGATTTATACTGGTGCTAACTAGAAACATTACTGATAATCTCAGCAGGGATATCAGGTAATTAATTAACATATAGTATTAATTTTCTCTCACCCCTATGAAGGAGAGCTGAGTCACATTGCTGGGACGGTGTGGGAAATCTCTCATTGCTACTGCTTGTGCTGTTCCTGCCCCATGCTTATAGAAAAGACATCCATTTTCAGGAGCTTTCAGAGGCTCTAAATTCACCTGAGATTTTTCTTTCTAAATTAAGGGAGGAGGGAGATTTAAAAAAAAAAAAGATACGAAAAATCAAACCCTTCTTTTCTAACAGCTGGGAAGGGTGAGGTCCTAGAAGACTGGAGAAGGGCAAGCATAGTATCTATTGTGACGGCGCGATGGGGTTCCCCCGTCTCCTGCACCCCGAAATGGCACAAACAGACTGCACCAGCCGGTGGACTAGAGGAAGTTTATTGCCTCTCCAGGATACAGCACAGATGTAATCTGGTCACAGAGCTGGGCTAGGATGCCTCAGGCCCCCTTGAGATGGGGGAGACTGGGCCCCTAAACTCCAGTCCCTTTCCCTAGGCTGTCTCCTCCATGCCCCCAGCCAGCAACTAACTAACCCTCTTCCAGCCCTGCCCCCCAGCCAGGGCAGCCTCCACCTTCCTTTGTTCCTCTCCATGGGGGGTGTCTGGCCACTGGTTTGCATAGTGACTCATCCTGTTTTGCTGGGTCGTGGTACCCACGGCAGCCAGTGGGGGGTACCCCAGAGCCAGCAGCATAGAAACCAGCCAGGTACCCCCACTACGTCACACAGAGCTAGGTGGAGCTCAGGTCTGATTTAGTCTGGCAGCGCTTACGTTCATCAGCTCTTGATTCCTAACTGTACTTCTTGGTGCCTTGCTAAATAGTGACTTGATGGTTCTTTTTAAAAGGCTTCCCGTTCTTGCCCCTAACTCAAGCCATGTTAGCCTCCCTTGGATAGTTAGCTTTCTTTCCATCTGCAAGTCTCACCAGCTCACTTTGGTTGCTCTCCTTTGAACTCCCTCCAGTTGTTTACAATTATTTTTAAACTCTGGCTGAGAAGAAAAGGTTTTCTTTGGCCGATAGCCAGACATTCCCCTGCAGATCATGTGCTGTTGGTGAGGTCTGAGCAGTGTGCGTCAGGCAGTGAATTGAGGAATAGGAGTCAGGACTCCAGCGTGGACTCAGAAAAGAGTGTCAGACAGCTGGACATACCAGTCAGACTGGAATGTTGGGCAACATCAGTCTGTACTGGGTGTCTCCACAGACCTCACTAGGGCCCCGAGAAGTACAGAAACCCCTTGCCATCTCCCCCATTGTACTTGCTGTTGGGAGGTACAGCCTCTTGTTTGTCAGGGTGCACCTCTCAAGCCTATCTTCCATCTCCTCCCCCTCTTCAAAACCAGTGGGTACACCGAGGTCTTTCGGAAGGGTGTCAGCGCCAGCCAAAAGGAGTAGGTTTTGAGATGCAGGAGAGGTGCCAGGAGGGAAACAGGAAGGGGGCTATGCGTATTCTTTGAGTGGCCTGTGTATGTACCTAATCTTGGGATGCAGCTTAGACCTTTTGCAGTGTTGTCACAGCTCCAAATGTTTAGGGGCTGCAACTAAAGAGGAATTTCATTCTACCAACTCCCAACTGCATCTGGACTAGGAACCTTGCTGGGTTGGGATGGGATGGCTAATTTGACGATTACCTTCCTTTTCTGATCATTCCCTCTGGGGAACAAGGGAATTAGCCACAAGGGCATTAGCCACTCTCCAAAGACAGGGAACTGGGTTAGATGGGCCTTTGTTCTGACCCAGTCTGGCTGCTCCTATGTCTTTAGACCCAGATTTAGTGGAGCAGATTGTTCCATGAGACACCACTTTCCATTTTTCTTTTTTCTTTTCTTTTTGGATTAAGGCTCTTAGTCCTTAGTTCTGATATGAGTAAAAAAAAGGAGGGGGGGGGTCAAGACGTGCCTCTAACTTTGCCCCTTTCCTTGTTTTGAGTGCACGTGTAGCATTGGCTAGTTGAGGGAATGTCCTTTGTCGTCTTGTTCCAACACCTTCACCCCCAAAGCTCGAAAGGTGTGTCCGATTCTCCTCCAGGCTGTGGCATTGCAGAAAGCATTAGCAGCTCAATCTCCTGAGCCCAAAACAACCTTATTTTCTCTGCACCATTTATGACTTTGTAGAGTGCTCTCATCTGTACCTGAGATGGTGGACATGCCACACTCCACAGCTAGATCCTGGGCTGGGAACATTTGGAGGGGTAGGGTTTTCACTATCCAAGTGTCCAGCTCCATTTCTTGGGCCTCACCTCCTTTAGTGTTGTCCAGGTGGCCTGGTTCAGAGCTTTCTTCCCTCACCCCAATGTATGATGAAGAAGTGGAGAGTTTGTAATGGGCTTTAGCGGCTTCCTTCTGTGGGGCTGTTCTGCAGATGGCCCAGCTTACCAGTTTACATGCATGGCCCCCCTGTTCTTTAACCAAGTTGGATTCCAGCCCCGACTGCAAGGAGAAGAGAAGCCGGGAGTGTGCCCTGTAACCTAGGGAGCTCACTCTTGTGGGGAAACTGCTGGAGAGCAAGAGGAGGCTCCAGGCAGATCCTGGCAGGGCAGAGAGCTAGAATGCAAAATGTCAAGTGCCAGGCTGCAGCACAAGGAGGAAATGCATTCCTTGGCAAACACCCAGTTGTCTTGGAAAAATGCCAGATAATACACCCACAGAATCAAAGTCCACGGTGCCCTGATTGAGATGAAGGGATGTAGTTCACTCCTCTTAAAGCTACTTTTTCAGGCTTTCTGCAGATCTTTGAATTGGTTCAATTCAGTTCACAGTTTCAGGGTTATTTCTACAACAGCAGGACTAGTAGAAATGATTTTAAATGAAAGCTGAGGTTCTGGAGTGCCAATGAACAGCAAATGATGAATTTCATAGCTGCAGAATTTGGAGTCCATGGAGCCCCTTAGGTACCGTGGGCCAGGGTGTCAGAGGAACTTTTATCTTGGTGTTCACCATCATGTGATCTTTGGATAACTTCTGGAGGTGGGAGAGAAGAGAACTCTGGGATGAGCCATGTGACACTCAAAAGTCGGATTAATGGTTTAACTGTGATACCGTGAAGTTGGTTCACCTTTATGGCATCATCAAAAATTGTAGTCGTAGTGCATTGCGCTCCCAGGATACTGTACCGTGATTTGTGTGTGATGTCACCGTGCAAAGGAGAGCTGTTGGGAAAGAGCCATAGTCTGTGTTCTCCCTGATGCTCTTGACATCTATCTCCAGGAGGTCTGATCTGCATAGATTTAGGGTTACACTCTCTGCCATCCGCTGCTTGTTATTCCCATTTGTTGATTCGTTCTGCCCTCTGCTGGAGTCTCTGGTTTGTGACAAATGAAACAGCAGCATGTCTGGGTTCTGCTCGCAGATAAAGCAGCTGGGAACGGGTAATGAACTTCACATTTCAGACACAAGCACTTGCTCAAAGATACAGAAACGTGGGGATGCAGATGGGCACTTGTTGTAAGTGTCCAGATGGCCTGCCCCTATGCAATGCATTATGAAGTATTCTTTGTGTGTCAAACCTCTCTAATGACGCGCAGAGGGAGGGTGATAGGTAACTGGGTAGATTTGCGTGTCTGTGTAGGGTGGCAGGGAGGGCATAGGGAACAGGGTATTTCCCTGGGCTGCTCCTCTTCTGTGCAATGCCACCTGTAAAACCTGCTGCGGTCAGGAGCAAGGACTGTAGTACAGCAGGGTTCGTTCTGCTCTCACTTGCTGTGGGGATGCAGTTGCACGGTGGGACCAGCTTTGGTGCCTCGCATGGGGGCTAAGGCCAGAACTCACCCTTCCGTAGCAGGAGAAGAGAGCACCATATACTGGAACAGATTGTCCTGGCAGGGGCTAGGTCTATGGTTTGCTTTCCCTAAGAGGAGTTCTTGAGTCGCTGTGCATCACTAGAAAAGGCTTGAGTGTGAGACAAAGCTGAGTCAGAGAGGAGAGAGAGAGAAGCTCCTGCTTTATGCAGCGATGGCTGCCCGCTGCTCCTGTGTTTCATCTCCCTGGTTTTAGAGCGGCTGTCTGAGTGTTCACTCTGACCGGGATGGGAACACGATGGGTTATCACTGCCCTTTTTCTCTCCTCCTCATCACTCTCCCTTGTGTGTGTGGCACTGATTTGTTTCTTCTCTTTTCCCTTTTCTTTCTGTCCCACAGACTTTGAAGCGGCTCATGGCAGATGAGGTAAGGACAGTGGTTTTCTTCTGCATGTGATTTCTCTTACTTGCTGTAACTTTCCTGTGCCTGCCTGTTTCTGGCACCATGTGCAGAGTGTTCCAGTGTGTTCTGTTCTGTTCTGTTCTGACTGGAGACTCCAGCCCATGCTGTCGCGTGCCTGCTCCATGTGCATCCTCTTGTTGAGCATTTACTGCTCTAGGATTCTCAAACTCTGCTTCTCGGACACGGCTCATAACCATACATGCTCTGCTGGCCTTTTCCTCCGAAGCACTGGTTTAGCTGGCAATCAGAACACTGGCGTTTTCCGGAGGATTGCTTCACAAGACTGCTGGCTGTGAGGATAGACCTGTCAGGAGGCCCCCAGGTGTCTGGTATTTTACATTCCCTGAAGAGGCATTGAATGCCCTTGTTCCTGATGGGAGTTGGCATTAGCTGTACCAGCACATTTCTATTTATTCTCTGCTGGTGCTGGTGCATGGACTTCTGGAGAACACTGGCTGAGCGTTGTCAGCCCTGTTCAAGGAAGCTGTCCAAGGGGGCATGAACCTTCTACACAGAACTTTGTCTCTGGTCTGTGAGGTTTCAAAAGCTTCTGCAGATCACAAGTGATGGCCTCTGGTGTCAGATCTACCCTCAGATTCGTTGGACTTCCTCTGTCCATTGCCAGCAGTGCAAGTGTGGGGATGCCGCTAGGGTAGGGTGCCTGACATGAGCCTTGGACAGTGTGTGGCTGAGGGTGATCACTAGAGTTAGGAGATGTGAAATGAGGTGGTGCTGACTTTGCTTTCTGTTTCTGTCTCAGCTGGAGCGATTCACCAGCATACGGATAAAGAAGGAGAAGGAAAAATCCAATGTGGCTCATAGGAATTCCTCAGCCTCCCAAATGGATGTTCCTAATACGGGCCAGATGCTGCAGGAAATCACAGATGAGGACGTGCTGCTCCTCTTCGAACAGATGCTGGTAATGACCCTAGTGCGAATGCCCTCCCTTCCTCCCTCCCCCTTTCCTCGTGGGGTGCTATGTGCGCTCTGCGTCACTCTCTCATTTGTCGGGACGAGAGGTGCAGACGGTAATGTTGGCCTTGTTCCCTCATAACCACGGTGCCGCCCACCCCACTTACCTCCATCCTCATGGTGGAGCTGGCTCTGTTTTCCCACAGCTCTCCCGTGGCTGTCTGCTTTGATTCCTGAATCCAGAGGGGGGCAAACTATGGACCATGGGCCACTTCTGGCCTGTTAGCTTTTTTAATCTGGCTGTTGTGGAGCGGGGCTTGGGGATTGCCCTGTTCCGCGCAGCTCCCGGAAGCAGCAGCATGACCCCCTTCTGGCTGGCTCATATACACAGGGTCAGGCCGCAGAGCTCTGTGTGCTGCCCCGCCCAAACACTGCCCATCCATTTCCCATTGGCTGGGAATCCCAGCCAGTGGGGAGCTACGGTGCAGTGCCTGTGGACAGAGCCTCCGGCCATGCCTCCACATAGGAGCTGGCTGGATCGGGAACATGCTGTTACTTCTGGGAGCTACTAGAGGAAGTAAGCAAAACTGGAGCCTACACCCCTGAGGGCCCACCATGCTCCAAAGCCCTGCTCAGTTCTGATTGCCCTATAAACTCTTCGGCCCCAGCCCAGAGCTGCCTCCTGTACCCCAGACCCCTCGTTCCTGGCCCCATCCAGGGTCCACAGTCAGAGCCCCGCACTCCAACCCCCTGTCCCAGACCAGAGCTTCCTCCTGTCCTCTGAACCCCTCTATCCCAGCTGCAAGTCCTTTGTGCATCCCAACCCCTGCATCCTTTGCTGGACCCTCACTCCCTGCCCCAGCCTGGAGCCCCCTCCTGCAACCTGGACTCCGCCTCCTTCCTTGAGTGCTTGTCAGGTCATTTCCAATGATGTGTGCACTTGTCGCGTTCATGAGTGTCAGAAACTTTTCCGCTAGCAGCTCCCATCTAGGTTGGCTATGGAGCCGCCTTGCGTGGCTGTGACGGCGCGTTGGGTTTTTCCCGTCTCCTGCACCCCCGTAGTGGCACAAACAGACTCCCCCAGCCAGTAGAACAGAGGGAGTTTATTGCTTCTCCAGGATACAGCACAGCACAGATGGAATCTGGTTCCAGGGCAGGCCTAGGATGCCTCAGCCCCCCTTGAGATGGGGGAGACTGGGCCCCTAAATTCCAGCCCCTTCCCCTAGGCTGTCTCTTCCATGCTCCCAGACAGAAACTAACTAACTCACTTCCAGCCCTGCCCCCCAGCCAGGGCTCCACTCCCCTCCTTCTCATTGTTCCGCTCCGTGGGGAAGAACTGGTCAGACAGGTTCGAAGCCCCCTTACATAATGACTCATCCCCGGCCCGGCTGGGCCGTGCTGCAGACAGCAGCCAGTGGAGCTCACTCACAACCCACTGCCCAGCATAGCAACCAGCAAGGTACCCCCCACTACGTCACAGTGGCACTGTTGTGTTACCTGTCACAAATGATGTTTCTGTGAGTGAGCCCAGCCTCACGGAATCTGTGCGCTGGCGAACAGTTTCTTGCTTTTCTTCAACAGGTCGACATGAATTTGAATGAGGAAAAGCAGCAGCCTCTGAGGGAAAAGGACATAATAATCAAAAGAGAGATGGTATCCCAGTATCTACATACCTCCAAAGCGGTGAGTCCTTGTGCTCTGAGTACAGAGAGCCGCAGTCAGGGAGGTAGGGATGTGGAGGTGTGTGACGTAGTGGGGGTACCTGGCTGGTTTCTATGCTGCTGGCTCTGGGGGACCCCCCACTGGCTGCCGTGGGGACCCCGACCCAGCAAAACAGGATGAGTCACTATGCAAACCAGTGGCCAGACACCCCCCATGGAGAGGAACAAAGGAAGGTGGAATGCTGCCTTGGCTGGGGGGCAGGGCTGGAAGTGAGGGAGTTGGTTGCTGGCTGTTGGAGGGGATGGGGGAGAGCCTAGGAGAAGGGGCTGGAGTTTAGGGGCCCAGTCTCCCCCATCTCAAGGGGGCCTGAGGCATCCTAGCCCAGTTCCTGTGACCAGATTACATCTGTGCTGCGCTGTGCTGGAGGAGCAATAAACCACCCTCAATTCCACTGGCTGGTGCAGTCTGTTTGTGCCATTTCGGGGTGCAGGAGACGGGGAACCCCCAACGCGCCGTCACAAGGTGAATAACAACACACACATTGCCTCACATCATCGGTTCTTGAGTGAAACTGGCATGAAACACAAATCTCATGAATTTGAAAGAAATATGCACTGACAGCGAAAGCCCTGTATACGAATGATGCATGGCCCCAATCTCAACAGCTTCCTCCTTTGCTTTTACTTGCTAACTTGTTTTCCACTGAACTCTGTGAAGTGTTTGAATCATAGAATACTAGGAGTGGAAGGGTCCTCGAGAGGTCATCGAGTCCAGTCCTCTGCCCCCATGGCAGGACCAAATACTGTCTAGACCATCCCTGATAGACATTTATCTATAACCTACTCTTACATATCTCCACAGATGGAGATTCCACAACCTCCCTAGGCAATTTATTCCAGTGTTTGACCACCCTGACAGTTAGGAACTTTTTCCTAATGTCCAACCTAAACCTCTCTTGCTTCAGTTTCAGCCCATTGCTTCTTGTTCTATCCCAAGAAGCCAAGAGGAACAAGTTTTCTCCCTCCTCCTTATGACACCCTTTTAGGTACCTGAAAACTGCTATCATGTCCCCCCTCAATCTTCTCTTTTCTAAACTAAACAAACCCAATTCCTTCAGTCTTCTCTCATAGGTCATGTTTTCTAGACCTTTAATCATTCTTGCATGAAAAGAGAATATGTAGGGATACAAAAGAGCATGAGGTCAGCACTGACCAATGCAGGATGGTTGGAAGTGGTGGGGATCAGAGCCATGAGCTCTTTTCATACATGAAATACAGATCACATGGCTACAACTCCCTTAGACAAAGCAAAAAAGTGGGAATCATAGCCTGAGTAGCTCAGGAAGAGCCAAGTGTGGCTCTGGCTCTAGCACCAATCAATAGCGGCATTATTACAAGTCACATGACTGCAGCCCTTACATAAGAACAGCCAAAGGTCCATCTAGTGTCCTGTCTTCCAACAGTGGCCAATACGAGATGCCCCAGAGGGAGTGAAAAGAACAAGGAACTGTCAAGCAGTACTTCTCCCGTCAACCATTCCTAGCCTCTGGCACAGGCTAGAAACACCATTCCTACCCCATCCTAGCTAATAGCTATTGATGGACCTAATCTCCATGAATGTATTTAGTTCTTTCCTGAACCCTCCTGAAGTCCTGGTCTTCACAACCTGCTCTGGCAAGAAGTTCCACAGGCCAACAATGTGTTGGGTGAAAAAAAGAACTTCCTTTTGTTTGTTTTAAACCTGCTACCTATTAATTTCATTTGGTGACCCCTAATCTCTTATGAAAACAAAAAATAATTTTTCCTTATGCATTTTTTCCACACCAGTCATGATTTTATAGACCTCTATTATATTCTCCCTTAGTCTCCTCTTTTCTAAGATGAAAAGTCCAAGTCTGTTTAATCTCTCTTCATATGGGACCCGTTCCAAACCCCTAATAATTTTTTTGGCCCTTCTCTGAACTCTTTTCAATGCCAATATATCTTTTTTGAGATGAGGTGATCACATCTGTACACAGTATTCAATCTGTGGGTATACTACGATTTTCATAGAATCACAGAATACTAGGACTGGAAGGGACCTTGAGAGGTCATCGAGTCCAGTCCCCTGCCCTCATGGCAGGACCAAATACTGTTTAGACCATCCCTGATAGACATTTATCTAACCTACTCTTAAATATCTCCACAGATGGAGATTCCACAACCTCCCTGGGCAATTTATTCCAGTGTTTGACTACCCTGACAGATTAGTCACAACCCCTCCCAGCTTGGTATCATCTGCAAACTTAATAAGCATACTTTCTATACCAATACCATATCCAAGTTTCCTGTTTCTGTTTCTCCCTTCTCACTGACCAGTGGGCCTACCCTCTCCTTGGTCTTCCTCTTGCTTCTAATGTATTTATAAAAAGTCGTCTTGTTTCCCTTCATGCCGGTAGCTAGTTTGAGCTCATTCTGTGCCTTCGCCTTTCTAATCTTGCCCCTGCATTCCTGTGCTGTTTGCCTATATTCATCCTTTGTAATTTGTCCTACTTTCCATTTTTTATATGATTCCTTTTTTATTTTTAGATCATGCAAGATCTCGTGGTTAAGCCAAGGCGGTCTTTTGCCATATTTTCTATCTTTCCGACACATCGGAATAGCTTGCTTTTGGGCCCTTAACAATGTCCCTTTGAAAAACCGCCAAGTCTCTTCAGTTGTTTTCCCCCTCAGTCTCGATTCCCGTGGGATCTTACCTATCAGCTCTCTGAGCTTGCCAAAATCCGCCTTCCTGAAATCCGTTGTCTCTATTTTGCTGTTCTCCCTTCTACCGTTCCTTAGAATTGTGAACTCTATGATTTCATGATCAAAGAGACATACATGTCTTCTCCTAGATCATGCAATATGGTTTTCATAACTATATTTAATATAGCAGCATGAGCCAAAATTTTTCAGTGACTGAGTATTAAAAGATTACAGTAACCGTCATTTTTAAATGATTAGTTAAAATAAAATATCCAGTTTTTGATCGTGCTCCTTTATTTCAGGATGTATTATTGACTGTTTAAAAACATTCTTTTTAACATGTGCACAAGATTTGTTCTGCTCCCCATCGATGTTATAAAGGGCTCGTCAGCAAGGGAGAAACTATATGATAGTCTTGTCAAATTGGCAAAGTGGAGCTAATGTGGGGAAATGGTTTTTGTTTTGTTTTTTGGTAACTTCTGTCAGTTACAGAGCACTTAAAATTGATTGAAAATGCTTAGTATGTTTTGTGCAAACTTTCAAGAATTTCTGCAAAAAACAAAGCTTTTCTCAGTTTTTGAAACTTAAAATCAATTTTTTGAGTAATGGTTTATTTTTTCAGTGACTGTAATGAGGGGAAGGGCAACAAACATTTTCTCAATTTTCCTTTTTTTGTTGAAATCTGAAAATTGTGGAAAAAACACATTTTCTGCTAATTTAGTTTCTAAACGTAATTTTTCATTTACAATTCTTTTTAATGAAAATTATGCTGTTTTAGAAACAAAATGTTTTGGTTTAGTCCACGTGCATGTTATACGTATTAAGTACAAAGATGTTTCAAGCTGGCATTGCCCCTTCAGGATGAGCGCGCTGCTCTTCAATCAAAGCTGTAAATAAGTTTCCATTATAAGCTCAATTTTTGGTCTTCACTTCTAAAAAAATATTTTTTTCCCTTGAAATTTTAAAATTGTGGAGTTTGGCCAGAAGAAACGCTTCTATTTTAAAAAAAGCAAAATGTGAATCTGAATCCTGAATCTGCCAAGACATTTCTGAGATACGGGGCTTAGAAAATATGTAGCTGGTATTCTACTTCTGGAAAATCTTGCTCTTCTTTCAAACCCCCTCTTCAAATGGTTTGCTCTGCAAACTTTACATTTGAGTCCTAATGAGATCTAATGTGTAGACCAATATTGGATAAAGTTGTGTGCAGAAGTGGGAAATTTATTCAGAAAGAATTCCTGAGTGTTTGGAAATGCCATCACGTCCTCATGGAATTGTAAACTTCCCCACGTGTGTGCTGGAGCTCTCCACTTGTGTTAAAAAGGACTAGTCCTTTTCCTTGCTTAAAGCCTTCAAAATGCAAGCTCCTCAGGCGGGTCGTTTGATCCAAGTGATTTGCCTAAAACCAAAGCCCAGTCTCTAGTGTCCTGCACCAGCTGCACTCTTGACCACACCTACCAAGACCAGCTTCCAGAGCATCTTTATTTGTGAGCATCGCCTCCTTTTCTTTCCCTCCCTTTCCAGGTGGTAGGCAGCAGTAGGTAGAGTCTCCACTCCACTTAGCTACGCAGTCACTGTCGTGGGAGCTGCAGTCAGACCACTATTATTTAACTGCCTAACGATGGGTGTAGGGTCTAGTGTTAGACATCAGAATTTAAAGCCACTGGCTTTAGACCACAGAAAACATGCCTCTTACCCATGCTGCTTGAAGGGGTGGAGTGGTAGAAGGGGCATTTCTATGCCCCTGAGTCCTAGGTACTAAGCCACGTTCTGTGTAGTCCTACCCAGACAATGAGTCCAGAAGGTCTGTCCGAATGTAGCTGCCTTGTTGGCCAGCGGAGTGTCCCGGTGCTGTGGAGTTGGTAACTCGGTCAGCGGAGATGTGTGGCTCCAAGGGAGCCAGACTCCAGTGGGAGAGTTTAAAAGAGCGCCCTGCTGCACTGCCTCCGGGTAGGGACATTCTGACTGAGGATTGCCTAGAGATGATTTCAGTCACACAGTACGTTGCGGTGGCGCACTGACTAGCCTGCGCTAGCTTTGCCCCTCCCACAGAAGGGAGACTGTGCCCAGGGAGCAGCAGGGCAGATGTGTATCAGAGGGGCTCCAGGAAGTGGTTTAAATGACTTTCCTTTTGAAACGCTAAGGGGGCCCTTTGTAGGGGCAGTTACATTGTAACTTGAACTCAGCTAAGTCAGGGTTAGAATGTTGTTCAGGTTGAACCTCGTTAGTCTGGCATCCTGGGGCCTGACTGGTGCTGCCCCCAGCCAATTTGCTGAAGCACAGGAAGTCAGTGTTGTC